TGTAACTCAAACACGCCTTCCGCCTGGAGGGGCAGGACCGTACGGCACTGTGAGGCCTTGAGAAAACCTTCCGGCGAATGGAAAGCAAAACAAACAGCTCGATTCGTTTGGACAAGGCCAGGGGGAAGGCAGAGCGATACAGGATGTCCACACGGTAACACGCAGAGGCAGGGGTGGAGGAGGCTCACACGGGAACACGCAGAGGCAGGGGTGGAGGATGTCCACACGGTAACACGCAGAGGCAGGGGTGGAGGATGTCCACACGGGAACACGCAGAGGCAGGGGTGGAGGTGACGGTGGTGCTGTCCTGGGCCTGGCTGCGTGTGCAGTGCCCCCGCTCGGACCTGCGACGCTCTCTGCGTCCACATTGGACGTGGGCGACCTTGGTGCCAGTGGCCTGAGTGGTGTGGGCACGCGCACACCTGCTCCCTGGTGCTTGCTGCCACCTGCTCCCTCTTCCCACCTCACCAGGACCCCAGCTGAATCGAAGGCCGAGTGGACAGAGACCCTGAGGCTCCCCGTTCTCGCCCGCCTCCCGGGGCGGGAACCTGCCTCATGGTCACTCCGGTGGGTGTTTATCTGTTACAGCTGAGACCCGCGTCCCGGCAGGGTCCTCCACCTCCTCTCAGGCGGGCTGTGACCCTCGGGCCAGGGGCCCGCGGCTCAGGCCCGGGACGGGCGGGAGGCGGGAGGCGGCGCCACGGGCGGACGGGCTTGTGGCTGGACCCCGTCTGGTGCGGAGCAAGGAGCAGAGGGAGAGGGGGTGACAGTGTCCACAGGGACAGGGTCCGGCCAAGCACACTGCATTTTTCTAAAGAAAAGATAACATCTGTTTTCATCTTCTCACCGACCATCCTCCTGAGAGTGAGTCACGGGCTCCGCAGGCTGGGTGCACGGGGCGGGCGGGGTGGAAGGTGGGGGCGGGGGGGGGGAGAGCGACCACACGGCCGTTTCCTGTGCTGTGTTGTGGGCCGAGTCACAACCTGGGGCCGCTGACCACCAGGGCCCCGGGTGCGCGTCCCCTCGGCCGTAAACAGAAGGCGGAGGACACACAGGTGCCTGGGTTGTTTTCAATCCTCACTCAGGGAGGAGAACCCCTTTTCCTTTGATTTTCAGAGAGTGGAAAGCATGGGGGAGGGGAGAGAGGGAAACATCGATGTGTGAGAGACGCATCGAGTGGTGGCCTCCCACTGGCGCCCCAACAGGGGGTGGAGGATTGAGCCTGCACCCCAGGCACCTGCCCTTGACCGGGAACCGAACCTGAGACCCTGTGGTCCCTGGGCCGACGCTCTAACCGCTGGGCCACACGGGCCAGGGCAGCCACAGTTTTTAAATGTGAGGCCGTGGGCCTGGGTCTCACTCCCGCTTCCCCGCTGGGCTGAGGCCTGGAGCGGCCGGGACCCTGGGCTCCGGCGCGGGACGGAGAGGGAGCGGGGAAGCCGGTCCGAGCCCGGCCCCAGCGCAGCCACAGCCACAGCGGGACTCACTGCGCTTCCTGTCACAGCACAGGGGCCGTCTCACTGTCCCCGTCCCTGCGCAGCCTTGACCGGGCGGGGGGGGGGAGGGGGGGCAAGGAGAGGTTTCCATGGAGGTGACACCGCCCTCTGCTTGGTCGCACAAAGCGCATGCGGAGCGCCCCCCCCCGGAGCAAGGACAGCGGGCCTGGCTCCTGAGGAGCCCGCGGGCTTTGTGCAGACTCAGTCGCCTCCTCTGCTGAAACCATGGCGACGGCGATGGAGGGCGAGGGCCGACTCCTCAGGGAATGAAAGATGCGGGCAGAGAGGAGGGACACGGGGCCCCAGCAACGAGTGGGAGCCCTGCTTCCTTGGGGGCTTCCCCCCTGCACAGCACGGAGCCCGGCCCCGGCCCCACTGCCCCCTCACAGGGGACCCTTCACACTCCCGTCCCCTCCGACGGCAGGAAGGCCGCCAGCGGCCCCAGCGCCTCACCCTCACGGAGGCCTGAGCGTCAAGGCCGGCCCCCCGGCAGCAGTGCAGCAGGCGGGGCACACACTCCCTTAAAGGCGTCCCCGCTTCGCCAGCTCCAGGCTGACGGGGACTAGAGGTGGCCATGGCCATGACCGTGGCCGTGGCCGTGGCCTCGGTGTGAAAGGAGGTGCGTCCCTCCTCTCACTCCCGGGCAGTGGCTGCGGGCTGGCAGCGTGACGGGCGACAGGGGCGGAGAGCCAGCACGAGGCCGGTCACCGCCTCGTTCCCATCTCAGGGAGGGAGAGGAGACAAGGCGTCATCACAAACCCGTCTGCCCCGAAGAAAAAGCTTGCTCGGATTTTATTGCGTCCCAGCCGGTGGGGTCCCCGAGGGCAGCCTGTGTCCCCCAGGCTCAGCTGGCTCTCATCGCCCTCGGGGCGGGGCGCACAGCACCCCCTGTCCCCGGGGGCCTGGGCCGCGGCCACAGCAGCCCCGGCGGCACCAAGCACATGGGGGCTCGCACCATCCAGCACACGCGCTGCTTCCTGCAAAGCCTCGGGGTAAAGAGCCGTCCGCCCCGAGTGGCCCCCAGCTCCCCCGTTCTCTGCAGGGACTGGGCCCAAAGGAGAGGGTGATAAGGCTCAGCCCCAAAGGGAAAGTGGGGTGCTGGCCACGGGCAGGAAGTGGCGACACCTCAGCTGGGCTCCAAGGCACCAGCTGTCTGCACAGAAGCGGGGTGTGGGGGGTAGGGTGTGGGGGGTGGGGGGGGCGTCGCCCTGAAGCAGAGGCCGCCGCTCACTCAGCCTCGCTCACCTTCACAGGAACAAACCGGCAGGAAGTGGGCCCCCGGGTGCGGTACAGGCCCTGCCCGTTCCCAGTGCCCAGCAGCCTGGCTGCGCCGTCTCCAGGGCCCAGGGCAGGGAAGCCGCTGCGGCTGGCGGTGGGAATTAAAGGAGAACGTGCGTGTGAAGCGCCCGGGATAGGACGCGGGCACTTCCTGTGCTGTCACTGACCCCTCCAGCTGGGGCAGCGCCTGCAGGGAGGGGCCGCTTGTCCTGAGTCCCACACAGAAAGCGGGGGAACAGGAGGCTAGGGAGCTGACTGAGGGGAGCTGTGTTGCCTCACAAAGGGAATGGCCTGGAGCTTCCCCGGTGGACGAGGCGGGAGGCCGGCCCGCTGCCGCCTTTTTGTTCGGGGAGAAGCCAGGCAGCGGGAAGCCTCTGTGGGGGGACAGAGCCCGGCCGAGCCCACAGGAGCTGAGGGGAGCCCTGACCAAACTGCACCTGAAGGCGAGGTTCCCAACTACCGGGCCAATTTTTTTTTTGTATTTTTAATGTATTTTTAAAAATCTTTATTGTTGAAAGTACTCATACGTCCCCTTTTCCCCCTCCAGGCCACCCCCACCCTATTGTCTGTCCGGGTGACGCACACGTGCACACAAGGTCTTTGGTTGATCTCCCAGCCCCCCTCCCTCTGAGGTCCCCCCGCACTCTGTTCCCTGCTTCCGTGTCTCTGGTTCTATTTTATTCATCAGTTTATTTTGTCACTTGGATTCCACACGTGAGTGAGATCATGTGGCACTTGTCTTTCTCTGAGCGGCTTATTCACTCAGCACCGTCCTCTCCAGGCCCCTCCGTGCTGTCTCAGGGGGAGAGGTCCTCCTTCACGGCTGCGTAGTGTCCCTGGTGTGGCTGTACCACAGCTGCTCACCCACTCACCTGCTGGTGGGCACGTGGGCCGTGTCCAGGTCTCAGCCATTGTGGCCTGAGCTGCCGTGAGCACAGGGCGCACACGTTCTTCCTGAGTGGTGCTTCCGGTCTCTTGGGATAGATTCCTAGAATTCCTGGGTCATAGGCAGATCCATTAATTTTTTGAGAAACTTCCACGCTGTTTTCCGGTGGCTGCCCCGGTCTGCATTCCCACCAGCCGTGCACGAGGGCTCCTTTCATGTGTAAAGATACCTCCGTGTTTTGGTACTTATAACTGTAAGAACCCTATGTGACCAGCACGTGTGTAGATCATGTTTCCGTGAACATGCGTGTTCATGTTGACTCTGGTGATAGGCATTAGACATGTGGAGGAACTGCCCACGGATGTGATCACGGATCATTGCCACCAGCTCTAGTGCCCTCGCTGGCGCCTTCCCCCCAAGACCCTCCCCCTCCTCCGCAGGAAGTGGTCCCCCGCTGACCCACGACCCAGAGGGAGCCCCCTGCAGCACTGCATCCTGTCCACCACCTGGAACGAGGCCGCTGCACACCCAGCACCTGCGGGCTCCCCACTCCCTCCGGCTGCGGCTCCTCCCTTCTGCTCTGAGCCTCAGAGCCACTCAGGTGACACCCGGTCACCTTTACAAGCCCCTGCCATGTCCAAGCAGCTGTGCAGGGCACTGTGGCCACTCGAGGAGCGCTCGTCTGGACCGCGTGGGGCGGCCTGGGAGAGAAGAGGGCCTCCTCCCATGATCCCGTGCGCCCTGCAGCCCCCCTGGACCCCGTGGGGCGGCCTGGGAGAGAAGAGGGCCTCCTCCCATGATCCCGTGCGCCTCGTCTCCTCTGCAGGTGCCTGGCCGCGGGTCCCTAAGCCCGGCCCACATGGGACCATGTTTCCAAGGTCTGACCTATGACCTGTGGCGGCCCAGGCCTCTGGCAGGAAGGAGGGACCTGTGTGCCTGCCCTTCGGGTTAGTGAGCAGGGCAGTGCCGTGCCCGCGGGAGCCGCCTGGCGCTGGGAACACACCCAGGTCCCCGCTGGGAGGGAGAGAGGCGGGCAGCCCTCAGAGCCTCGCCCAGCGCCCTCGGGCCGGAGCCCGCGCCTGTGCAGGCCGCCGAGGGGACGCTGCGGGGACGTGTGGTCACCTCTGGCCTCAGGGACTGAGAACTGTCCACCCCGAGGCAGGAGGTGGCGACACCCCAGCTTGAGAGCAGGAGCGAGAGGATCCGCGCCGAGGAGGCAGCTGGGGGGGTGGGGGGCGCCGGGGGAGGGAACAGCGCGAGTCCTCAGTCCCGCCCACCGGCCCCGACGCCAAGGTGTCGCCCAGCTTCTGAAGATGCGTGCGAAGAGACACACAGAGGAGGAGAGAGAGAAAACGCGCTTTATTCAGGGACACGGAACCCACTCCCACCCGCGGAGTGCAAAGCGAAACAGAACAGGCTGAGCCGGCGCGGTGGCCACGGAAGCCACGTGGTCCTGCTGCCTTGGACAGCGGGGCCTGTGGGTCCCCTCAGCACTCAGACCACCACAGGCCCAGACGCGGCCTCGGGCCGGGCTAGGGGGGTGGCGGGTAGAAGACGGGGCCGTCCTTGCACACCTCCAGGTCCTGGGCGAGGCCGGCGCCCCCCGCCCCGCCCGCCGGCTCCCCGGGCTCCGCACAGCCCCGCAGCTGCAGGTCCCTGGTGAAGCACAGCTCGATCTGCCCCAGCAGCTGCACCTCCTCGCCCTGCGCACGAGAGGGAGACGCTGGAGCCGTCGGACCAGGCCCCGCACGGTCCTACATGGTGGCCGGAGCTGGTCACCCTGGGCAGGACCTAGAGCTGACCGACGGGGCCTCCCAGCCCAGACCCTGGGCACCCCGTCCTCCCACGCTGCCTGGGCAGGGCGGGTCCTGCCCCGGGGACAAAGCCCACAGCTCGTGTGTGAACTGGACCGGTGGCCACCGGGATCGCAGTGCACGTTTCCTGCTCAGAGGCTGGCCCACCTCAGCCCTCCCGGGACAGGTGCATCCTGGGTAGTAAGGGATGAACATCCTGTCCCAGGGCCTGGAGCCAAAGAACAAGGTGATTTCCCCACACACACACACACACAGCACACCCACAGCATGCACCATGTGCACCCTACACAGCACATGCCTGCACCACCCGTGTGCACACACGTGCACGCCCCCCCCCACACACACACACAAGCAGCACACGGGGAACTCGGCGGTGAGCACAGCCGCCAGCAGCGTGGACCCGGCACTCGGCACAGAAGCAGCCAGAGCCCTGACCTGCTCGGGCGGGAGACACTGGATCTTGGGCGCGACTCCGTACAGGCTGGTGAGGGCGTCTTTGATGTCTGACACCTGAGAGGACATAACGGGCACAGAAATGGAACTCCCACGGAGAACCCAGCCGCCGTCCACGCGGCTGTGACGCTGTTCCCACCCTCGCACCCCCAGCTGACCCGGAGGCCTGGCTGATCGCGGCAGACAGGACAGGGACACCGGGTGCCCCGCCCCCCCTAGGACAGGATGTGGCCTCCGGCCGCCAGACCTCCACCTCCCGCTCATCCTCTCGCCCTGTCTGCACCAGAGCCTGGGGCCGGGCAGAAGCAGGAAGTGCCTGGTGGTGAAGCACCTGACCCGTGGTCGGGACCCGTGGCCCCTCACATGCCTGCCACCCGGAGGAGGAGGAGGAGGAGGAGGAGGAGGAGGGGAGAAGGGGAGGAGGAGGGGGAGGAGGAGAGGGGAGGAGGAGGGGAGGAGGAGGGGAGGAGGGGGAGGAGGAGGGGGAGGAGGAGAGAGGAGGAGGGGAGGAGGAGGGGAGGAGGAGGGAGGAGGAGGAGGAGGAGGAGCGCCACAAACGCACGTCACTACCGCTTCAGCACACACGCGGCAGGAAGGGAGGTCGCAGGGCCCCTCTGAGCCCCTGCAGCGCCCGGGCCGGCGGGCATGTGCTGGGCACCGTGAGTGCGATGCAGCAGGAAGAGGCTGGAGTCACTCACCTGGTAGTAATTGCCCCCGGATGGCAGGATGCCCAGCTTCTGGAGCATGCTGGCCGGGAGGAAGGAAAAGGGCTGCTCAGCCAAGGTCCGTCCTCCTTTATCGTTCTTTCCAATATCACTTCCCAGCCAAGTAAGATGCTCCTAGAGGCCACGCTTTCCCCGGACCTCGGGCAGCAAGCCTCTGAGGACGGCCAGCCCCCCACACCCAGCACCTCCCCACCCAGCGCCCCACCACCCAGAGCCCCCGCAACCAGCGCCCCCCCACCCAGCGCCCCCCACACCCAGTGCCCCCCCCAGAGCCCCCCCACCCAGCACCCCCCCACCCAGCACCCCCCACCCAGCGCCCCCACAACCAGCGCACCCAGCGCCCCCCCACCAAGCTCCCCCCCACCCAGTACCCTCCACCCAGGGTGTCTGCGCCCCACGAGGCGGCCCATGCCCGTGTCCACACTGCGTGGCCGTGACCCAGGGGCCCGGGAAGGCCTGCAGGAGCGGAGGACGTCTCAGAACCGCCGCTCACCAGGCGCCCGGCCCTGCAGGGGCAGCTGCCACCCAGGGGCTCCGGGCCAGCGGCTGGGGCACACCCAGGGTGGGCCGTCACCCCTAGTCGGGCAGAGGGAGGCTGCGGCCGGCGGCCCACCTGTTGAGGGCGAGCGCCCGGTACAGGTCCAGGGCCTTCCCGAAGTACTTCCGCTCGGAGCCGAGGGCGTCCAGCTGGGCCGCGCAGGTCCCGTGCTTCGCCCACTCGTGCTTCCTGGAGGCACAGGCTCTGCTGGACGTCAGGGGCGAGGGCCCCCCAGAGGCTCCCGAGTCCTCCCCCCGCACAGGGCGCCCCATGGCAGCCCAGGCGCTGGCCTCACCCCACCCACGCCTAGAGCGCCACCCCGTGAACACGCGTGGCCTCCAGGCCCCACCCTCCTCCCATGAGCACCGGGGGCTGAGCAGGAAGGCGCTGCCCCTTGCCAGCCCCGGCACCCCTCCCGCCCCGACAGCAACCTCAGCCTGGCCGGGCACCCCTCCCGCCCCAACAGCACCCCCAGCCTGGCCGGGCACCCCTCCCGCCCCGACAGCGCCCGCAGCCTGGCCGGGCACCCCTCCCGCCCCGACAGTGCAGTCAGTTCTGAGTGCCTGGCCGGGCACCCCTCCCGCCCCGACAGCAACCTCAGCCTGGCCGGGCACCCCTCCCGCCCCGACAGCAACCTCAGCCTGGCCGGGCACCCCTCCTGCCCCGACAGCGCGGTCAGTTCCGAGTGCCTGGCCGGCAGGCGGGTCACTGTGAGAGACGCCGAGGCCTGTCCCCGGCTTGGCTCACGGTTAGGGCGTCCATGTCCGCGGAACCCAACCGCCCAGCCCGATGTCTGCCATTGCACAGCAGCTGGTATTCAGGAGAATGGTTACTGGGCGTTCTCTACAGTGCAGGGCAGATGGAGTCTCCATTCTCACAGCTCCCCAAGCTGGGTTACAAGTGGGGAAACTGAGGCTCAGAGGGCGGCTGGGCACGCGCTACAGGGCGCCAGCCAGGAAGCCCGAGGCCACTCTCAAGCCCCCCTGGCTTCCCGGGCAGGCCCCGCGGGGGCACGGCCGCCGGTCCCCCGCCAGTCGCAGACCACGGCCCGCCTCCACGTGAGCCCTCGGCGGCGTGAAAACAGACGGGCCCGGGCCCTCAGCTGTGCCAGCAACTCGTCAACCACGAGGTCTCCACAGGCAACATTCCCAGGAGCTTCCTAGAGCGCACACTCCCCGCACCTCAGAAACCCGCCTGGATGTGCACCAGTTCACCCCGAAATCCACCCGGAGCCGGGGTTCACCTGCCACCACGGGAGACACACATGGGCGAGTCACTAAGTCCCTTCTAGAACGGTCTCCAGAGTCGATTACTCGGGAACTTGCGACGCTCTGGGGGACGGAAACGGAGCCTCCTCCCCCAGCGGGAGCTGCGCCTGAGCTGCAGGTGGCTGGTTTCTGTGTGAACGGGAACAGTCACCCCAGGACCTGTGGGCACGGGGTCCGCGGGGCACGGGGGGGCGGGGGGCGAGCTGAGAGGTCCCAGCTCAGGGCAAAGACTCAACAGCAACTGATGCCTGGAGCAGGCTGACCTCCACCGACGGAGGCTGCAGGACACACGCAGGCATCGAGGGGAACGCGAGTGGAAACACTCACTCCACTCACATGCTGGTCACCCCTCATCGGTCACTGACAAGCTTGGTTCAGTGAGGGACGTCCAATTCCAAGTGACCGGCTGGGCCGCCTCAGGGACCACACTGAGCCCGTCCCCCAGCGAGCCCGGCCCCCAGCGAGCCCGTCCCCCGTCCCCCAGCGAGCCCGTCCCCCAGCGAGCCTGTAACGCCCACGGGCCTGGCCCTCGCCGGGTCTTTCCTGACAAGAACCCAGGGCCCCTCGGAGAAACTAAAGAAAACTATTCTCACGCAGCCGCTTCCCGCTGACGGCAACGCGGGGCCGAGGCCGGGACGTCCCTACAATCTCCCGCCACAAAGGCGACCTGGCCACCGTGAGCCACGTGCGGCGATGAGGGGACAGCGGCCACGGCGCCACATCCACGTCTCCACCTCTGCGCTGAGGCGCTCTGGAGAGCACACGCCCTCATTAGCGTGTGATAACCATTCTGTCACTCGGAACACGAAGACATGGGGTGTGTGACTGCGCGACCCCACCTGAAGGGGGACCTCACTGCCGTTATCGAGCACAAACGAGGCGCATGCACGGCCCGCGCTGTTTGGATTAAACCTTCCAGGCCCAGCCCCCCGGAGACCTGCTTTGTTGGTTTATTTTTAAGCCGCTGTGGCATAAGCTGCGTGGCAAGCATGTGGCTATCACTGGACATTGTAACAACTGGCACAAACACTGTGTTACTCAGCTCTCACGCGGAAACATTGTAACACCTGGAAGTATTACACTCGTTACTTAGTTACACCCCTGCCCTCCCTGAAGTGGGAGGTGAATGCTTTTTCACTGTTTTCCCGGTTTCGGTTCCTTCCGGCCATTGTCCATGCGAAACCATAGTCTGGAAGGCAGGCTGCACAGACGCCAACGACAAACCTGAGCTCTCACGGCCCCGATTTCCCGGGCGCATCTCCTTTGTGTTAAAGGGAGATTTCAACCGACAGCCCCAGGATCCAAGGGCCCTAACCTGCCCTCCGGCCACGGCTAGAGTGGAACCTCCCCCAGGACATCAGTGACCAGGCCCGCAGACACCACTCTCCTCCCGTTTTGTGTTCAGAAGCTCTTCTTTACACCTTAATCTTTTCCTGAAATCTTTCAGGTTAAATCAACCGTGTTGGACAAATTCTGATCAGTCGCACTCTGAACTATAAGGGGACACACGGGAGTGAGAAGGAGAAAATACAGGATTATCCTCAGTTACTAAAGATATAAGTAAAAAGAACGTTCATGTCTCCTTCAAAGGCGATGATTTTAGGAACTACTTGATGAAACAGCATTGTTCTCGTTGGCTCAGCTCTTGCTAAAGTGAAGCGTTTGATGGCGCAGCCCGAGGACAGAGCCGCAGCGAACCGCCCTCTCTCCTCCCCAAGGCCCCCCCCCCCCCCCCCCCCCCCGCCCCGCCTCTGACCAGGGATCCTTTACACATCTCCAGGCAGCAGCACTCCTCCCAGAACCACGCTCTCCTGTCTGACTGGGAGCGATGGCTCCCCACGATGCACAAGTTATCTAAACCCCAACAGAGAACATTCTCAAAACAAAGTCATGAATGCAATACCCATGAAAAACAAGCCTCTAAGCAATAAAATAATAATAATAATAATAATAATAATAAATAAAATTAAAAAAACAAGCCTCTAAAGGAAATTCCACTCGCCTCATCTTCCGCCCGTGGCCAGAGGGAGGCGCCAGAAGGGGAGGCTGTCACACCTCTCGCTGGATCAGGGGTCCGCGCCTGTCCCCACGGTTCCCCGGAACGCGCAGGCGCCTGGGGCTGGAGACGCGCGGGACTCACCACAAAAAGGTGCTGTTGGGAGACGAGTGGAGCAGGTCAGGCCAGTACATCTTCATGTCTTGCATGAGGTCCTGCGAGCAGTAAAGAAAGAACTCGGTCCAGGCGCGGAGAGGAGCTGGTCCTCAGGCCCCTGGCGGGGCGAGGTGGGGGGGGGGGGGGGGGGGGCTAAATTCTGGGCTCATTTCGCCTCGGGTTGGGCCGAGGAGGCGAGGGTGTCCTGGGGGATGTGCGGGATTGCTTTAGAGACGCATGGCGCTGAGGTGCCAGCGTCCGGCCTGGCAAAGGCATGCAGGCCCCTCGCTGCCCAACGACGCCCTCGGGAAGAAGACGCGGCCCAGGGGACACCCTGGGACAGAAGCCAGCGTGGGTACCTTAATCTCGTCCAACTTAAAGGGCCACGACCGATTACACGAGTCCGCTCTGTCAGCCCTTGAACGAAGAGAACAGAAAGGAGAGGTCAGTCTGGGATGGGCTCTGAAGAACCGAGGAAACCCTTCCTCAGGCGCAGAGGACATGGGGGGCGGGGTCTGCCTGGGAGCCGCAGGCCAAGCCTGTCAGCACAGCCTCAGCTTCCAGGACAGGGCTTTGGGGGAAGGCCAGCCTCGCACACACAGCAGGGGAAGCCTACGGCACCCGCAGGGCGCGTGGAGCCAGCTCCCCAGGAGGCGTTTCCAGCGGGAGGCCTGTCCCTTTAAGAGGAGGTGAGGTTAGGAGCCCAGGTGCTGGGGTGACCTTGCCCAGCACCGAGCCCACGCCCTCCTCCTCGGTGGCAATTCTGTCCTCACCGTCACCTCTGCGTCCACTGGCAGCTCAGGCCGCGAGGTCGCCAGCCCGCTCCCCAGACCCGGCCGTGTTTCCCGCCGCCCAGCTGCCCGGACCTGGGCCTGCGCTGACCGCCCGCTCCCAGGTGAGAACCCGGAGAGCCAGGGGCCCGGGGAAGGCGGACTACAGGCCGGCCCCGGGCCCCCTTGAAGCTGCCTTCTGCTGACCCCATGCCGAGGGACACGAGGGACTCGAGCACAGCAAAGCCGAAGGGCCTCCTCTCCGCTGAGCAGCGGGCCGTGTGTGCCATTAGCAGCACAAATCCGTGCACAACAGCAAGAGAACGAGCTACACAAAATGCTGCAGAACCAGGAAGTCAGTCTGGGCGGCTGTGAGGGGTCGCTAACATAGATCATGGATATAGTTTATATTCATATTATCCTACTGCCCCCCAATGAGGACCCTAACATACACTCAGAGTCCCTAAGTGCATGTTTGGCCTAGACCTGTGGTCGGCAAACTGTGGCTCGCAAGCCACATGCGGCTCTTTGGCCCCTTGAGTGTGGCTCTTCCTAAGCCTTAGGAGGGCCCTAATTAAGTTAATAACAATGTACCGACCTATATAGTTTACGTTTAAAAAATGTGGCTCTCAAAAAAAATTTCAATCGTTGTACTGCTGATATTTGGCTCTGTTGACTAATGAGTTTGCTGACCACTGGCCTAGACTATTACTACTCTATCAAAACAGAACGACACAGCAGGATTAGGGTCATGTTAGTGCTTTCCAACGGGGAGCTGGTCTACGGACTGAACCACAGGGTCTCGTAGAATGAACTCCCCACAACATCTCAAGTGTAACTCTCAGAACCAGACGCGCTCGTCTCCGGGGGGCGGCCGCTGGCCTGTGTGGTTCCCGCAGCGAGTACTCGCCACAGTCCGTGGATCGTCCAGTAGTCCGGGGGGTCCCTGCAGCCGTCTTCCGCTCTCTAGGCAAGAGACACAGAGAAAAGTTGGCTCATCACTGACTTCATAGACTCGGCGCCCTTCCTCTCTTTCGACACGAATCAATGGCAGGGCTAACGCAAAATAAGCCCCCTGCGAACCTGCAGTCAGTTCACCCCACAGTACACACTCGTGAGGAAACTACACTGGCTGGGTGTCTCTCTGCAATGAGTGGACCAGCCCGCAGTCTAAATGACAGAATTAAAACATCATTTTATCTCCTTTTATGCGCTCGCAAATTAGGTCAATCCGATGGAAACACTCCTATTTGCCGATGAATGATTCTATCGTATAAGCGTAGACAAACGGCTGAGAACAGAAGGCGGTGACGCCCCACTAGCCTCACGTCTGTTCAGGCACCAAGTCCAAACACATCCGTGAGCCAGGGGCTATCGAAAATCTGGAGCCGTAAGAATGCCCAGGTGAGAGCAGGAGTGCATGATGAGAGAGTCCCACAGCTACGGAGCTCAGGGGCCTCCACCCAGTTCAGCTAACACGGAGATTTTCTAAGATAAACAGCCACCAAGAAATACATTTCCCTATCAAATGAAACACAAATAAAAAGCAGATGTTGGAGTTGACCAGGTGGGACCAGGTGGGGACCAGGTGGGACCAGGTGGGACCAGGTGAGGCAGCGTTTGTGGGACACATCACCCGCCGGCGGGCCTGGCCCCCGCCCCGAGGGAAAGCGTCCAGTGCTACCCAAGCAGCTCAGCCCACACCGCTCCTTCCAGCCACAAACCCTGCTGCCCAGGAGCCAGAGCCAGACGCCAACCAGACTGGCCGCCCCCCTCCCCACCCCCACCCCCACCCCAGCAGAGGCTGCTCTGCGGTTGTAAAGCGAGACCAGCACGGCCAGCAGCTGCGCACAGGGGCGCCCACTGGTAGACACCTTGTCGGGTCCAGGGCATAATGTGGTGAGATAACACGTGACATTTCATTTTCCTTTGTCAACAGAAAAACCAGCCTGTGAGGAAGCGGAAAGAGGCCTGGTTACCCATGGTAACCGCATGCTGGCCGGAAACCAGAGCCGGAAGCTCCGCAGGTCGCATGAGCTGACCCAGCCACACCGCTGCCAGCTGCCCCCCAGGAACTCCAGGAAAAGGCCCCTTCTGACTGAGATTCTTGAGTGAACATTTCAGAAACATCATCAGTAAAATTAGGGAGAGCTCAGCGGGAGGATGAAACACCCCAGGTCGGGCAATTTACTTCCCTTTACAAACCGCCCACGGGGGTGGGGGGTGGGGACAGGCCTGCAGGGGCAGGCGGAGGCGGGCAACCAGCTCAGACAGCCCCCCATCTTAGGCAGGGCCCCGACTCAGACAAGACCCCATCTCAGATAGGACCCCGTCCAGTGAGAAAGACACCCCCGCCCCCCACTGAGGCAGGGCTCCTCTGTGGTGACACTTAAGGGCACAGGGCCCAGGACAAGTCAGAGGCACAGACGGAAAGACCAACCCATAGGCGACAAGAGCAGGCCAAGGAGACAGGGACTGCCGTGTTCTGGGAGACATTTGCTTACAAAACATTTTTATTGATTTCAGAGAGGAACTGAGAGGGAGAGAAACATCAATGATGAGAGAGAATCATCGATCCGCTGCCTCCTGCCCGTCCCGTTGGGAATCCAGCCTCCGGAACCCAGAGGACTAAAGCCAGCGTCCGGAGCCCCCAGCGGTGGCGCTGCCACAGCCCAGGCACCTGCCGCAGGGCCCTCCTGGAGGGACTGGCTGCCAGGACGGGAAGGCACAGCCACGGGGAGCAGCAGCCCCAGGCCCAGAGAGGAAACAAGCGAGACTTCTTAGGGGCGTCCCTGTCAGAGGGCCGCGGAGGCAGACACTCACCTTGCACACGGTCGCAGGCCAGTGGTGGACCATGATCAGCTTCTTCCACTCGTGGCTGCCACTGCGGAGACAAGGAACCACGCCCCTAGAGCTTTCCAGTTACTGAAAAATTAGCCCGTCCATCCACCTGTCCATCCATCCACCCATCTGTCCATCAATCCATCAATCCATCCACTCATCCATCTATCCGCCCATCTGCCCACCCATCCATCCATCTGTCCACCCATCCATCCACCCACTCACCCATGTGTCCATCAGTCCATCTATCTAGCCATCCATCCGAGGCCTCATTCATTCAAGGAACAGTGAATACCTGCTACAGGCCAGGCATTTCTGTGGGACGGGGTTCCTGCCCTGAGTGGGGGACAGAGTCCCCAGGCACTATGGTGGGACAGGGATGAGTCCCACCCCCCTGAGATGCACATGGCTGTGAGGGAGACAAGGGCCAAGTATGGAAAGCACATTCACAGTGTCATGTAGTTGCAAAGCAGTGAAGAATATAACCAAGCAGCGGATGGGCACAGCAGGGCAGGGAGCAGGTGGGCAGGGCAGGGAGCAGGTGGGCAGGGCAGGGAGTGGATGGGCAGGGCAGGGAGTGGATGGGCAGGGAAGGGAGTGGATGGACAGGGAAGGGTTGAATTGTTGAATTGGGGTCAGGCAGCCAGGAAGGCCTGCAGCCAGGGAACACCCACCAGGCGCCTCTGTCCTAAGGGCTCAGGGGCTGGAAACAGACCCATCGCCCTCATCCCACGGTGAAACCCTCAGCACAAATTCGCTGAAGGCGCCGGATGCCTCTGACCTCCCCCCATTCAGGGAGAGGCCTCCCTGCTCCCGGCAGAGGGGGTGACGTGGGAGCAGAGGGCGCCCCTTCAGACCCCGGCTCAGAGGGGTGGGGGGCTGGCAGCAGGAAGCTCAACCTCTTTGTCAGGCTCAGCAGACAGACAGCCGGCCACAGGTGAAAGTACTCAGATGGAAATTGGGGTTCATGGGGAAACAGAACTGGTCCCCCCACAGTCGTGCTCCTGGGTAAGGAGTACGCTGAGTAACACAGAACTCGGACGACATGAAACCTGGTCTTAGATCTGAGAATCTGAGATGATGAGACCAGAGCTCGGCATAAAGGAAAAGCCGGTAAGCCGGTGCCGGCAGCGTGAGCAGGACAGACAACAGGCAGCGTGAGCAGGACAGACAACAGGCAGTGTGGGCAGCAGGACAGACAACAGGCAGTGTGGGCAGCAGGCGGGAGAAGAGCCTCTTTCCCGGGATGCAGAGCTTCAGCCCACAGGTGGAAACGGAGGCTGCCAGTGGGGCCAGGGCTGGGCGACCAGACCAGCAATGGGCGCTCCCGTAAACCTGAAGCCGCAGAGCGCTGAGACGATGCCCACCTACATCCAGCCGTGGGGCGTGGAGCAGCCCCGGCCCCTGAGCAGAGAAGGCCAGTCACTGCGCCCTCGACCAGGTGGGACCAGGTGGGACCAGGTGGGACCAGCCCTGAGCTTGCGCCCTGAGGGGCTGCACCGCCTCTGTGTCCCGCCCCTGCCGGGCAGGGCGGGTGTCCGTGAAGCAGGTGTGTGACTTTGGGGGGGCGGAGGGGGGGGGACATACGCACATACTGCGCCTCCTTCTTTAGCTGCATTGGCTGGTGCCCTTGGCCAGGCAGGGTCTACCCCTTCCTCCCAGTAACGCCTCCCCTCGCACCGCACCCACTGTCGGGGCAGGTGTATTTCTACTTCACAGGTGAGCAGAGCCCACGACGACTCTCAACCCCATCCCGGCCTCTCAGCGACCCTCTTAACCTGGTGGCAAAAACTAATGGCCGGAGCCCTTCAGAACGTACGCTTCCTGGGGAGCCTGAGCCATCATGTTACCCCTCACCGTGTACCCCCAAACAGCCATATTTCACTGAAACTCACTAACAAGCTAAACCCAGCTTCTCCAGCGCCTCCTGCACAGGGCGACACCCTCGATTAGTGCGATCGTCACCCAGACAAAATAGAGGAAAAGTTCAAGTCTGGCGCCGGCTGCAGGCTTCCTGTGCAGTCAAGCGAGGGTCCCCTCCGCCGGGACAAGCCTGGGGGGGGACCCCTCTCCCACCGCGGCTGGAGTCTACACGGAGGCTGCGCAGGGACCCCCACCGCGTCCACCGGCGCGGCCCCCCCCGAGGCTGGGACCCCACGCGCGCCCAGGGGAGCACCCACCTGCTCCGGAGCCCGCGCGCGCAGCTCAGGCAGAAGGCCAGGCCCAGGGCGCACAGGAGGGCGCGGCCAGGCGCGGCCGGCTTCATGGCGACCCGAGGAGCCGCGCAGCGGGGGCCAAAGGCTCGGCTTCCAAACCCGCGGGGCCGACGGCGCAGGTCCCTGAAACTGGACACATTTCCTTAAGCAGCTCCGTCGGCCCGCCCACGAGGGACTCCCGCCGCCCAGCTCCCGTCCCCCGCCCGCGCCCGCCGCCCGGAGCCTGCCGGCCGCACCCGCGATCCCGCGCCGCTGCCCGGCTGTCCCGCCGCCGCCGCCACCGGGTCTGATCGTTTCCGCCCCGGCGACCAGCTCCGGACCCGCCCCACGGCGAGCACGTCCTGCCGCCTACGGGGTAGGGGGGAGGGGGAGGGGGGAAGGGGGAGGGGGGGCGGTGCCCGGCTGGCAGACACGCCCCCAGCCCCGAGGACACGCCCCCAGCCCCGAGGACACGCCCCCAGCCCCGAGGACACGCCCCCGGCCCCGGTCCTTCCTCGCTGGTCTCCTGCGAGAGGCTCTCCTTCCAGCCTGGCCACCCCGCTCACCGAAACTCATTAAAAGGTCGTGGCACTTTCCTTTCCCCCAAATGACATCGCTGGGGGGAGGGGGGAGGCGGGGAGAGGGCCCACTGAACTCTGCCTGTCTTGAGGTTCAAGGCCCAGTGCTGTGTGCTGGCTCCCAGCGCCCCGCCAGAGCTGATGCCACCCCCCTCCTCCGCCTCACCCCACCCCTGAGCACTTGGGGGTGATGTCTGCTTCCACGTGAATTCTGGGGCCCCGCCCGGCATCAGTGGAGTGGAAAATAGTCTCCTGCTCCAAGTGGGGGCACGGGAGCCACCGGGCAAACGTGGGGGGCATGCGGGGAATGACAGCCAACAACTGAAGAGTAATGGCTAGCGTAAGCGAGGAGGCAGCAGTGAGACCTGGGGGAGGGGTCGAGGCAGACAGCATGGGTGCTGGGGGGAGGGTGCCCTATGCCTGGGGGGCGGGGGTGCAGAGTAACAGGAACCAGGGGAAGCACCGACTCCCGGCCGAGCGGCGCGTGGGCGAGCAGCATCTGCCTGCCGGGGAATTCGTCAGATGCAAACTAATAAACAGCACAGCCAGCTGGGGAGCCAGGGACCGCGTGCGGGCACCTGTGGTTCCTGCAGATCCGCACTGTGCTCCAGGAGGCAGGTCCAGGCCCTTGGGGTCAGGACCCTGGGAGCCCAGGCAGGGTGCCTGCGAACGGGGTCGAGGCCACATTCACTGGCGTCTCCAAACGCACAGCCCTGTCCTGCCAGAGGCCCAGGGGCCGCGGGGGGCTCTGGGTCAGGCTGTCCCCTTGGAGGGCCAGGGTGCCCAGCCGGCAGGAGGGGCTGGTGCCCAGCGGGGGTGTGGAACTGCTCCCAGGTGGATCCTCTGGGTGTGATTCAGATTCTCCTGCTCCTACCTGGGTAACCTGGGAAGCGAGCTGGCTTCTCTCAGCCGGGTTTCCTCACCTGTAGAGCAGGAACGCAACGCGCTCTCATGGCTTATAGTTGGGACTAGAGAGTGAGACGAAATCAGGCCCAACAGCTCTTCTGAGGTGGCAAATAAAGGAATCTCTTACCCTCACTCTCTGGTGACAAATTTTAGACTCAAGACCAAGGACTCAAATCCAAATTTTTACCCAAAAGCCTATTCCTGACACCACTTCTGACCCCATCATAAAAGGCTTCAGAAAAGGAAAAGAAAAAAATGAGCTCACCCTCACGTACGCACACATGTGCACACACCGGCAGACACCACTGTGCACTCCCACATATTAGAAAAGACTTTACTTTGCAAAACTTACCTCTAAACAGTAAGTGGGCACCTGAGGATTAGTCCTAGGCCAGCGGCCGTCCTGTAGAGCACGCTGCATCACACAGAACGGCTGGCTCTCGCATTAACAGCCAACCGGGCAGTTTTCAAATATTTCGTGTTTTTAAGGGGTTTTGTATATGTTTCTACTTATTCCACACCCTTTTTCAAAAAGCATCTGAGGTGCCTTACGATGCACAAACAAGGGGTGGTGACTACCTGCTGTGAGGAAAACTAGAGGCCGGAGAGTAAGAGCAGCAGAGGCGGGCGGTTCCCTGGTAGTCACACCGAGAGCCGGATCCCACAGCAGCTCGTGTGAGCTCCCACTTGACCCCGCACAGCCCGCGCAGTGAGAGGCCGGGCACGATCAACCCAGGTTTACAGGCGAGGAGACCGTCACCAAGGGCTTCACCGATCTTCGCAAGGAAGGGCAGGCGGGGGCCAGGCCTGACTTCCTGACTGCTAGCCCGGCGCTGCGTTTCTGATGCCTGGGATGCCAGGGAGGGACAGACCCAGGGAGCAGGGTGCCCACTGAACCCTGCCCGTCGTGAGGTTCAAGTCCCTGTGCTGTGTGCTGGCTCCCAGCGCCCGCCGAGCTGATGCCACCCCCTTCCTCCCCCTCCCCCTCCCGTCTCCATGAGAGGGCTTCTCAGTGAGCACCGCACTCCAGGCCTTCAGCACGAAAACCGACCACCTGGTTCCCCAGATTCCAGGCCAAGACAGGCCCCGCTGAGTGTGCACTTTGGGGTTAGGCACGTTAAGGCAGATCATGAACCAAGGTCACAGTTATCGGGAGCGACGTTTAGGTCTCAGTAAAGACCCTGCCAACAACAGGGCCGTCCGCCCAGAGTGTGCTGGGCGCCCGAGGGCGGCACGGTGGGCAGGAGCTCCCACCCCTGCAGCAGCTCCGACAGGCTGGCCCACCTGCCAGGGGCGCTGGGCGGGGGTTCCCGGCCTCCCCTGCCTCTGCTTCCCCTGCTCCAGATTTTAGGGAGACTCCCTTTTTGTGCTTTTTCCTACAAACTCTTTGCTCTGTGTAAATATAGCAAACAGATAAATATTGGGTTAAGAAACCGATGGGTATGTTTACACAATGGAACACTGCTGCAGCCCTCGGCTGTAAAAAGCAAGGGACCCCCCCCCCCCCAACAGCGTGGAGGGACCTGGAGACTCCACCAAGCGAAATCAGCGGGGGGAAGGAGAGGGGGGGGGGACCCCACGGGACCCACCCACATGTGGAATCCAAGGGACAAACCGACAGAAAAACATAGGCTGTTTCCACCAGGTCCACAGTGCAGTCCTCACTGCTGTCCTCACCGTCACAGAAACGCCGAGCCGATGGCCTGCGGCTGCTCTCCAGCCAGTGCCCGGCCAGGTAGCTGCTCGTGGTAATTGATGCCTCTGTCGACAGGGCGTGTCTGCTGCCATAGCGGGGTGCCTGTTGAGATAGGGGTGCTTTGTCATGATACTGGGGGCGCCTTCATGATAGCAGGGCACCTGTCGCGATCGTGGGGACCTGTCACGGCAGCGGTTGCCTTACACGGTACTGGGGTGCATGTCGCAATGCTGGAGTGTCTGTTGCAAGGCTAGGGTGCCCATCAGGGTAGTGGCTGTCTGTCGGGAAGTGGGGTGCCTGCTGCCTTAGTGGGTGCCTCTGCCTGTGTTTCTCGTGATGGTGAATCTAGACATTTTGCTGGTGATGGTGTGAGCAGCTGATGTCAACACAAGTACTGGGGCCTGAGCGTGCAGGGAAGGGCCCTGCAGAGCCGTCCTCGTTCCCTGGGCCGGGCTTACACAGGCCCAGGTGAGGCCCCGGGTGCCCTGAGCACCTGCAGAGGCCGGCACCTCCAGACCCTCCCGCCCCAGAGAGACCCTGTGTGAGCGAGCCGGGCAGAGGGGCCCCCGCGTCACGTGGGAGGCTCTGCAAGGGAATCTCGCACTCCAACCCGTCACAACAACCCCCTTCACAGAAGCGCTGAGGAGTCAACTTACAAAACCTCCACTCCTTCCACCACAGAAACTTCCTCCGCCCCCGCAGCTGGAGGACAAGGCCCCTGCGGGTGCAGCTGGGCTCCCCCAGTTCCTGCCCCTCCGGCCTCGGTTCCTCTTCCTTGGCGCCTGGCCCTCCTCGCCACCTGCTCCCCAGACCGACGGCGCTGTGGACATGCTGCCTGGCTTCCCCTGCCAGGGCCTCTGGGAGCTTTTCAGATGGAAAGACAATCAGAACCTCCTGGCAAAGTCCTGAGCTTCCCCCCAGCCCTGCCCGGCCTCGCCTGCCCTGAGAGGGACCTCCTCCCGCGTCCTGGGTGGCGGCTGCCCGGCGGATGCAGCAGAGGCTGCTGGGCCTGCTGAGGTCGCGTGGCTGCCACGGCTGCCTGTCTCACCTGGGGATGCCCACGGCGAGGGACCAGCCCGCAGCCCTGCGGAAGCAGGACCCGCCAGGCCAGGCTCATGGGCAGGCCCTGGAGAGCTGGGAGCTGGCAGCCCCGCTCACAGGTGCCCCACCCGCCTCCGACTCTCCCCTCTGAGGCCCCCACATTGCAAACCAGAACCAGGCCCCCCTGTGTGCCCCACCGAACCACAAGGAGGCCACTGGCTGCCCCGCAGGAGGTGGGGGAGGTCTTCCCACGGCCTCAGGAGCTGGGACTGTGGTTCCGGATGGAGGGAACTAATTAGGGGCAGGGACGGAAGCCGGAAGCCTTGGGGAGCAGCTGTTCTGTGGGTTCACTTGAGCAGTGTGCGCGTTTCATGTAACTACGAGATACAACTGAACTCTGAGGACGCCTCCTCCTGACACAGGGACTGAAAGCAAAGGGAGAGAACTGTCGGGGTGTATCTGAGGCCAAGAGAACGCCCTTAGGTCCCACTTGTTCGCCATCACACGTGTTGTCAGTGGGAGGCTAAACGTAACAGCAAAGGAGGAAGGAGGTGAATGCAGCTGGGAGGCCTCCGGCTCACAGAAAGACACAAAACCCAACGTTACAGAAGCCAGGGAACAGGAAAAACGAGGTAAAAGCCTTGTGCTAAATTTGCATTGCAAATCTCAGTAGTAATCATACATTTTCTACAGAAAGAAAGAACAGAAACAGCCGAACAAGAAGGCTTACTGCCCCTCTGGCCTCTGGCAGTCCTGGTCCCGGGGACCAGCTCAAGGCCACAGCACCGGATCGAGGCCTCTGGGCGCACCCTCACCCCCTGGACCAGGGCTCCTGGAGCCGCGTGCGGGCTGAGCCTGGAGCCCAGGGCGCAGCAGAGCAGGAGGTGGCCACACGCCAGCCCGGCCGGCCGGCTCACCCCCGCTCCTTTGAAGAAGGCGCACATAGCATTTAGACTAAGTAGCGTCCCCTCTTTAATCTGTGGCCCATTAAATGCTTGAAAAGAGATGAAGGGGAGACGCGAAGATATATGCAAATAAGACCAAATGAGAAAGCCCTTTCATCCTGAATTTATTCACAAATGTCAGTGTGAACTCCGATGTGTCTCCCTTAAACCAAACCAAACGTGTGCGTTGATGGATGTGGAATTGGAGGCGAACATATTACGAT